AATGTTTGCCATTATAATTTTAGGAAAGTTTTCAATTATGATTTTTTACAACATTTTGGCCCTTTTACAAGTTTGGAGATCTTCACCGTAAGGGAAAGGCTGTAAATAAACGTCAAATTTATTGTACTTAGGCTGATTTTATTAGTCTAATTCAAAACCGATCATCATCAATCATCACCCACTCTCACTGTTAGTATTTCAGTTGTGTAAATGGTAATTGATTAGGCAACTAGATATTGGCGCTTTATATGTTCCTGGATTGGATAATTACGATCTATAAGATAAAATCGTTATGATGATCTGAAAGCTATTCCCGCCCCTTTCTCGGAGAGCCCCATGCCCCCTCAAACTGTCCTACCTGCTTGCGTTTTAATCTATAATGGAGCCCCCTCCCCTATCCGATTTCTACATTTCCCATGTATTGCCATTGTAACCATGGTTACACACAAATGAGGACCAAGTAATCATCATGAACACTGGGAAAGAAATTTTAGCCATCGCGTGTTGACTGAAAACGAGTTTCTACCCCGTCTGCACGACATATGGCAATAATTCAGTTACCAACAATAAATAGGAATGATGAATTGTGTATCCTCTCGTAAATTATGGTAGAAGCGACTACTTGAGTAGCAAGTTCGAAAAAAGGTGTTGATGATATATGCCCTTTGGTAATGATAGAATTTATGCGTGTATTTACGATAAATCATGAAACGCGAACGCCGACCGTGACTTCAAAATACTTTCCTGTAACCAAATCGGTGCTATATTTAAGCATTTAAAAAAAAACTTTTGTTTAAATTGTTACCGCGCGCATTATTTTTTATATTTTTTATGTGTTTTATTTGGGAGGGGGGGGGGGTGTTGTGTGGACAGAATAGAACCAGAGAAGGTGGGATGGAAGCGAGAGAGAGAGAGGGAAAGAGAGAGAGAGAGAGAAGAGACAGACAGACAGAAGAGAGAGAGAGAGAGAGAGAGATAGATTACGATGGATAGAAGCCTAGGGATGGAAATAATACTTTCTCCAGTCACGGAGGGCCAGGTTTTTTTGTTCCCATGACCTCATTTTCATCTTACCACGATGATCTCGGAACGGCGCAAAAATTCATTTTTTAAGGACAAGTTGACTAGGACTTCTCTATATCGATGAAGGTTTCTACAAATTAGCCCCTCCCAACCCCAAACCCATTTGTGTGTGGGGGGGGGGGGGGGGACACGGAAGACATGTCACTGTGACATTAGCAGATTTGACCAGGTGACGCACAAGGCTATTGAAATTATCTAAGTTTGATTTTTCGAAAGTCTTTGCAATCGTGTTAACTGTATACAGATAATTCCAAAATCATTGTGAATCACTGCTCAATACCCGCTAAAGCTACAGAAAATGCAAATTTTGTAAAGAAATTAAAAATCGTGATTTTTGACATTCTTTCAAATGTTGAACAAAATAATGCCCTTGGCATCCACCCCTTTCTTATTCCTTAGTATTTTTTGCAAGGTTTTTTAGCATGGATGCCATGTATTGCCCTAAAATTCCATGGAATCTTTTCTAGAGCCATTTTTTAAATGTTTTTGACTGGTCAACTATTGTATGTGTGGAAACACCTCCGTCGAAAACTTCTATGTAACTGTCGAAAGTTCTTTCTTTCTCTCTCTCTCTCTCTCTCTCTCTCTCTGAGCGTGTCCACACAAAAACAAAAATTATCCCGAAACTCAATTAAAAAAAACGTCGTATAAAGAATCATCATATAGAGAAAACTCTCTCTCCCTCTTTAGAGAGAAGAGGTTAATGGTATATTGATGATGATTTTGTGATGAAGAAGGTAATATTGGTGATGGCGATGATATATCATGAAGACGATAGTCAACTGGGATCGATATGACGAAATAAAAATTATGTTCATGTTTTCTTTATGGGAGCTGACGCCTAGCTGTTGCTCCAATATCAGCTTTCTAATGTTTTACGTTTGCATACGAGGGAAGTGAGCACACACACACAAAAAGAAATTTACACTATAGACAACATACCGAAATGACATATTCGGGCATCTTGTTTTCGAATATGAGCAATATTGATTATACATGTAATCACTGAGTGATTATGAGGTGACAGACTGACAGTTGCCCCCATATTTGAGTTTTGAAAATCCTGAGGGGGCTACAGCTTCCTCCTACCTTATACGCCTACGGCTGTAAGACCAGCAGACACCAGTAGAGAAGATTATCAAGTGAGGTAAATGGGGGCTCCTAGGGGTATGGCACGAAAATTGATATTGAGAAGAAATGGAACCAGATTTGACGGATAATGATGACAAGTAAAGTCGCCCTATCTGTCGTTCTCGTGACCTATATACTCATTACGGGTCAAAGGAGAAACATAAATCGCTTACAACTTCAGCGAATCTCTGCAATTGTCGGACAGTGACAGTCTCCGTGGAAAACGGACACATTTTGAGTATTCATTGTACCTGCTGTGAAGTGGGCAATTTCTAACCAGAAATCAACAAATACGATAGAGGTATTTCGATGTGATATATTAATTTTATATTGGGAGTAGCAAATGTTTCTTCGATAATAACGTTTACTGTCATTCTCATCACTTTCACCTTTTTGAAATCCATGCCTCAAGCCATCTTGGTAGCGAATCCAGTGCCCCGTCTTACAAGAGTTGAGATTGATACCAATATGTACATAAGAGATATAGGAGACTGCACATCTTTATAAGACTATTTGCGCGGGGAGAAGAAACAAATCCGATATTATCTGATAAGCAAAGCAAGGTGATGAATAGATGACGTATGGGTAGTTTCTGTTCTTTAGATTTGTAACATTTCTACATGAAAAAAAATTCTTGCATGCAGGGGATTTCATCATTTTCACTCAACTGTTAAAAATCGTATGTGGTAAAGAGAGCCACAAATTTTGGTTTAGTTTCATGTTCTGTATTTAAACACTGTTGTAAATAGCTGTTATTTTTATGATATGAACAAAGAAAGTCCCTCGAAATAATAGAAGAAAAAAATAAAGAGCCACAAACGCAGACGTTTCAGTATGAGAATGAAATGTACAGCAGGCATGGTGTATTTACATGTATTTCAGAGGGAATTAAATAACCGTTTCAACTTTCAGCGCCAAACCTGATTGTTGCTTTAACGGAAATACAAACTTTCGATTGGGGTCGAGTTCGCGAGTAATCGTAACCAAAGACGAAAACAAAAAAGAAAGAAATGTCGCGAGAACAAACCGTTTTCCTTCTCCTCTTTTTTGAGGCTGTGTATCTTTCCCTGTTCTATCCTGTCCCGGAACGAAAATATTCGAATGTTACGGAGCGACTTTTACAATCAAAACATGCACACTGCCAAGAAAATAAGAGAATCGTTTTGATTAAAAATAGAAATGTCAGTTAAATGGATGAACTTTAACAACAGATTGATGAAAATCAGACTTGAAAAATAAAACAATCTCTGCCTTCCTATTTTTTTAATAATTTTTTTAAGAGATCCGGTACCTTTGTCTCAGATCCTTTAACAAAATCCTTAATTTAGCTCATGCTACATTCATAATTATAAACCTTTAGGTCATTCAGGAATCCCATGAATTTTACAAGCCGATCGCCTGTCCGATTATCAAGATATTTATGATTGAAAATCGAAATTTCATTTTGCGTTCTCCTAACGGTTTTCATAACACCACAGTCTATCGGGAAAAAAATGAGTATGGTAAAACCGTCACTCAAAGATTTTTACTTTTTTGAGGCACTACATGATCATTTTGAAGCGCAATTTTTTTTTTAGGGCTTCAATATTACACCATATCACAGACACTGATAACACGTAGGGCCATGCATCTCAGATTTAACATTGTTAAACGATCCCTTTAATGCACTTCTTTAATTTCGATCCCGCCAGACGATCTTCCGATCGTCTGTATTTGTCTTTAAATCACCTCTCTCTCTCTCTCTCTCTCTGTCATAGTCGAATCCCGTCAAGTTCAAATCAATGACGTCATATCTAAATTCACTATTTGCCTCTAAAGTTCATCAAACTTTCATCAATTGCGTTAGCCGGTTATATATCTTAAACAGATATTTTGGAGTAGAAATTGAAAAGGAAATTAGAGAGTAAGAGAGAGAGAGAGAGAGCCCAAGGAGCCGCAAATTTAGTGAAGTAAATTATTAGTTCAAGGTTTATTCTATGCCGAAAAGAAAATATATACGAGCCGCATGAGGCTCTAGGGGGTCCTCTCGAAACTATACGCCCTTCAAACCGGCTCGCAATTTACCCGTTCTCCGTACAACTCGGGGGCGGACCGTGGGGTGGTTGCCTCATCATTTTTTCTTTATGCCGTCACTGCCAAGCCATGCAGAGGCGGAGATGGAGGGAACATACAAAGCATGGCTGCCTCAGGGCATGTGAGTTAAAGTCTCACCTCCCTGGCTGCCTCCCCCTTCTAATTTTAGGCCAACTCCCATAAGCGACCACGTATAAATTTGGGGCGCCGAAGCTAACGCACTGAACCCCGTTTCGCCCAAATCCTAGATTCGCCACTGATTTTTCCCTCGATATTAGCAGGGCTACTTTCATCCCACGCTTGTATTCATTCAGTTTACGATTTAGGAACTGCCACATAAACTCGCAAGAGAAGGGGTATTCTATTTCTAAGAGAAAGCATACACGGTTGGCAATGTGGACGGAAAATGATTAACATTTTGGCTAATGACCAAGTGCACGACCTTGAATTGTGAACATTATTTAAGTGAATTCTAATATAATCAGATCATAATTTTCAAAGGTGCTGTGCAAATCACCGGCTAAGACGATTCTTAATTTTTGACCATCAATTAATTGAACTTCAGTGAATTGTAATAAATGATAGAATAAGAATCGGGAAGAGACACTGAAAAAACTAGAAAGAAAGAGAGAAAATAGAAGAGAGAGAGAGAGAGAGGGGGGAGGGGGCTCGAAAATCGCATTAAATGTAAACAAAACCAAGGGATAACGTTGTTCATGTAAAATTTTGATTATAATTGCATCGATAAAATTGTTCTAGAATCTAAAAATATACAATCTTTTATACAAGATATTGCAACTTATACATGAAATGTAAAAATGGATAATAGCTTATCACGTCGTTACATTTCAGGCCTATAACATCAGATCGCCTGGAATGAAACAAAAACAAAATATCATCGAAAATCTCATGACTGACACCAAAAAAGTCTGGCACTTCTGGTGTGCAGAATGACATCAATAATATGACGACAATTTAACTTAAATTGTATTTTAAATCTTTAGAATAAACAACTAAAGCAAAATATATAAACATCTATAACTTCTGACGCACACAATAATAGGGAAATACACCACTTTAATATATGTATGTGCAGCTTGCATACAAGCTCTTCCAAAGTGATACTTGTTTACATGGCACGGTTTATATATATCTAAACTGGTCTTCAAAGAGTTAATTTGTGATAAAACGATTAAAGAAAGAAAAGCTTTGTACTAAGAAATCTGGCAGATATAACACAACAAACAATTTTGCAATACAAATTCTATAGAAACAATAAAACACAAGAAAACAGATTTAGATCTAACAAATAAAAAAAACTCACTAAACGTTATATAAATATAAATTAGTTTCACAATTTGATGGGAGGAACTAACCTATTATTATATAAATATTATTTGCATTATAAAAGTAGAAAGTGAAAGATTGCTTAACGATATAAAGCACGTGTATATCAGACACCAGAACGTATTTCAGTCAGTATCACAAACGTCACTTTTCACATGATATTAACTCAGAGTCATCAAAATAACAATCAGGCAGTCATGTTCCTGAGGGCCACTGTTTAATTTTGTTTACAACTTTCAACGTATTTGAAATACAAACAAAAGTAGTACGGCTCTTGTTTAGGTTTAGACTCTGACAGTTAATATGGGAACTATCCTCACTGCCTGCCACCAGGCCGCCCCCCTCCCCCGAACGTAGGGGCGGGGGCTTACTATGGGATGAAATTCATAATACAGGGGCACTTTCTATCGTCTTTACAGTAGTATGAAAGACTTTATTTTTGTAATTTTCTTTGTCTATTTATCTCTCGGACACAATTTTCCTTAAGTTTAGCTCTGGCATCAATATTGCACATTCCTTTGGAAACATAGAACACATTTCGATGAAGGGCTGGGAAAACCGCGCATCTATCAGGTGACGTGTATGACCTTTTGACCTGGAACTGGATGCACATGACCTTTCAATTGATACGACCTCTCCCATTATCACCTACTCTTGTTGCGTTCTGTTGAGACAAAACGACTGGGAACGTTCAAACACCGTGTTCACACTAGAGTCTTCTGAATAATTACAGTTTCATGATATCTCGGCCCTCTTCATAAAAATTAATATATAAAATTTAACGTTGATTGATTGATTGATTGATTGATTGATTGATTGCTTTCTTGTGAGATAGGTTATTAAGAGGATAGAGATAGGTTATTAAGAGGATACGGCGCCACTGACACGGTTCCAGGATACCACTGCAAATTTGCAAATTTTGTCAGCAGGCTGCCCCTCATCCTGTTTTGTGTGATACTTCTTGTGAGTTTGTATTGTGCTCTTCGTATGCAGGTATATTGCAGACCAATTAGTGTTTGTTATTTTGTTAGGAATTATTAATGTTTTCATTTAAAACACTGACGTTATAATGTTCTCTTTTCCGTTTTGTTTTTGTGTATTGTAATTGTTCAACCCTGCATGAGATGCATTTAATGTAATACAAATCTCTGTCCTGGGTTTTATGTCACATCTTTATTATTATGTTACATGTATACTTTCTTGAATAAAGATGAACAAACAAACAACAACTCTTGAGCTTAATTTTCCCGAAAATATTTTCTTGGAACTTTGAAAAAGTGTTAGCGCGACTTATGAACCAAAGTACGTTTCATATCTATTTCTGAGGTGTAAATCGGAAAAAGGAGGCTGTTGTATTTTTTTATTTACAAGCTTGAACGCAAGCAATGATGTTACGAACTCATGCTGTGTTTGACAGGGACATAAACTGCGAGGCAAAACAAAGAGATGGGAAATTCATGTCGAGGGTGGAAATTACACAGGAAGATTTGAGTTTAAAACGTAATGCAATAAACGTTCACCTTTTCATATGCCTACAGGTCAGGCGGAGAGAAAATCGAACATACATCCCATTATTACTGTTCTTATGTAGAAGGGAGAGTGAAATCGCATCATCAGCTTAAAAGCTGAATTCTCCATGTATTATATTCATGTATTATATTCATGTATTATATTTAAACAAATAGTCGATTCGAATCAGAAATTCACAAAACAGAAAAGTGAATAGCGTCAAACAACTTAGTTGGCAGAAGAAAAAAATTAGGAAAGTACTCAAAACAATCGGTAATCTCTTTTGGATTGGTCATTGGCATTTTTGCTGGGGTAAAGTGTTGACCATGACAAAATGCATGTTTAAGATCACCAGACAACCTCTCTTTAAATAAACATACAATAACATTTTGATCTAATTGGTAATTGAAGGTAATCCTAGTTGCAATAACATTGCTTTTCGATTATAAAATGTCTATAATTATTCTTTAAAAAGAAATATTGGTATAATAAGTAAATATGCCGCTTATATAGCAGTAGAGCGTAATCATATATCATAACTATCATATATAACATACCTATGTATATATATTATATCATATATAATCAGTAAGCAATATCATTGCATAGCTTTTGTTATGTAGACCAGTAACATCGTAAAATAGTTTACAAAATCTTCCATAAAACGGCATGATATTATGCATAACTTATCAATGCTTATTCCCCATAATCCTCAGGCTCATATATAATTGCGTTACTATATCTATGTAGGTCAGTAAATATAGTCTGAATAGTTAAAAAAAAGCTTGCACAAATTGGCATGATTACAATGAGTGTCAATGCTTCTAGCCTCTTGCATATCTGATAATCTTATATTATTGCTTTGCTATGAGGCCTAGTACAATGAAATTTAATACTTGAATATTAAATCCATATGATTTCAAAGAGCCCTCATGCTTTTACAGCCCTTCTCCCATCCTCATAACAGTGGGTTCTTGTATAGGCTCATGTCTGTTACATTTGACATTTCTGGCGCTCTACAATTATTACCCTGGTTTTTACAATGGCTGCCTTAATGGCGCTCGAGCATTTCAAGGAATGTATTCTTGATGTGGAATATATAACAAGTCTAAAATACTTGATAATTCGCTTTTAAATATATTTCATTTGAAGGCTACAAATGGCTCTCCATAACTTTTAAGTCCAACTTAGAGTTAAGTTATACTTAGGATCTTTGTGAACCATTTCAATCCACAGCCTGGTGACGTATCCACTAGACCAAGACACCTCTATATTCATTCCTGATTTGCTATGTAAACCAGTAACATATAAAATAGTTCACACAAAAATGCAAGAAACCTCCTGATTTTGAAGAGTTGTCTAATGCTTATAGCCCGTTTCCCAGCCGGCGATCATGGGCGGCTCTAAGAAGCCTCTGAACTCCTTGCCATCGGGTGACCAGCGGGCCCCGTAGCCATCAGTGTTCCGTACCTCCAAAATCGGCAGGGCATGCTGCGAAGGAAAAAGAAAATTGGAGTTGAGGCTTGAAACAAATTATGATATGTTGATACTTATTAACAAACAAGAAATAAATATTAATATCTATGGCACCACTCGAGATGAATGAGATAGATAAATAGGGTTATGAATAAGAATGAGAAGGAGAGAGATAGAGTGTGTGTATGTGTGTGTGTGTGTGTGGGGGGGGGGGGTAGACAGGGTCTATAAGGGAGGGACGATGGCGACGAGATTGAATGACACATGCTCTGGCAATGACCATTGCTCTCCGGTCATTTTCAAATATTATGTAGACTCAAGTCGACTTCCTAAACCGATCCTTTTGTCGTGACCCTAACCTAAAAATGTGATCGCAACACAAGTCGTCACGGTATATCTTTGACAGATTGTTTTCGGATCAAATATGTCATTAGGGCAAATGTCAGATCAACGTTTAGTGATGTAACATAACCAAAACAAAGGTTGTCGGTATTGAAAGAGATAACCTGTTATATACGAGGTGTCATTAGTGAGCTTTCAAAAAGATGACGGAATGGCAAAGAGGACGGTAAACCGAGCGAATTATCGGTCTATGCATGCGTGAAATAGTAAAACAAAGAATAGCATAAGGAAAGACAGAAGAGAGAATGATAGGATAGGATAAAAGAAAGGATAACAAAGAAAACATAAAGGAAGGAGAGGAAAAAAAGGAGTAGATACGGAATGAGATACCAAAAGGGGTAACGTGAAAATGGGTCACATGTTTTCGCGTCACCGTGGCCAGAAATTGAGATTTTAACAGGCCATTTTCGTAATGTATATCCATATTTAAGAGCCTCGATACGAAATATTTCATTCCCCTGTTACAGATAATTGTATTTCAATAGTCAGAAAGGAAATCGTATATATTACGTGCTTGTTAGGTGGGTAAAGCCATGTTTGTCCTACCATGGACCTACTACAAACAGATGCATGTGATTTGAATTCTGACAATTGAGATACATTTATTGGTAACAGGTGGATGAAATAATTCGTATCAAGGCGGAGCATTTATTTGGTTACCTAAGGACGGGAGCATTAATTAGCGCAAGTAATAATGCAATCAAAATGGTGTATCAGGCGTCATTTTGATTTAAGCCTCGGTCACAAATGCCATTAGGAACTGCTACGAACCCTGTACGAACGATTTTCAGACAATGGAAATTCGGGAAGACAATGGAAAAACAGGGAGATTCGTACGAAATTATCGTTCGTACGAACCTTTGTGACCGTAGCATTAAGTTACTACATGTACTTGCGCTAATAAAATTTGAACTCTTCATTTTGCAATCACTTTTGGAACTGCGTCATTTTCACACGGTGCGACTGACACAGTAACTAACGCCTCATGTGAAACGCAACAGGCATTGATCCTGCTAAAACAGACCACGATGGAGAGGGGATGGGAGGGGTGGATGGGGATGGGAGGGGTGGATGGGGATGGGAGGGGTGGATGGGGATGGAGAGGGGATGGGAGGGGTGGATGGGGATGGGAGAGGGGTGGATGGGGATGGGAGGGGGTGGATGGGGATGGGAGGGGGTGGATGGGGATGGGAGGGGTGGATGGGGATGGGAGGGGGTGATGGGGATGGGAGGGGTGGATGGGGATGGGAGGGGGGATGTGAGGGGTGGATGGGGATGTGAGGGATGGATGGGGATGGGAGGGGGTGGATGGGGATGGGAGGGGGTGGATGGGGATGGGAGGGGTGGATGGGGATGGGAGGGGGGATGGGAGGGGGTGGATGGGGATGTGAGGGATGGATGGGGATGGGAGGGGTGGATGGGAATGGGAGGGGGTGATGGGGATGGGAGGGGGTGGATGGGGATGGGAGGGGGATGGGAGGGGGTGGATGGGGATGTGAGGGATGGATGGGGATGGGAGGGGGTGATGGGGATGGGAGTGGGTGGATGGGGATGGGAGGGGGATGTGAGGGGTGGGTGGATGGGGATGTGAGGGATGGATGGGGATGGGAGGGGGTGGATGGAGATGGGAGGGGGTGGATGGGGATGGGAGGGGGGATGGGAGGGGGGATGGGAGGGGGTGGATGGGGATGTGAGGGATGGATGGGGATGGGAGGGGTGGATGGGGATGGGAGGGGGTGGATGGGGATGGGAGGGGTGGATGGGGATGGGAGGGGGTGGATGGGGATGGGAGGGGTGATGAGGATGGGGAGGGGTGGATGGGGATAGGAGGGGTGGATGGGGATAGGAGGGGTGGATGGGGATAAGGGGGTGGTTGGGGATAGGAGGGGTGGATGGGGGTGGGGGAAGTGGGATTCAGAGGGTGTATAAAGCCGATACAGACTCAGCATCAGTGACCAATAACATTTCAAAGTTCACATGCACTGGAGGAAATTATTGAGATTACTCGGGATTGCATCGGTTCCTTCGCAGTTTCCGATTGTCTCGCGATGGCCAGCAATGCCATGTGCGAAGAATCATAGAGAGGGACCATTCACACTGATACTATAATTCATCTCACGTTCCCGTCATATACATGTGCATCGAATGCATGTACAGTAATATATTGCGGACAAAAGGGAAACGTACTCTTGGAGCTCGGGAGTGTTTTCGATTTTGACGTAGGCCTAGTGTTGACGGTCTGGGATGGAATTCATTCAAGATTCTTCCTCTCGGAACAGAAACAACTTGAGGATGTTGAACTGCTTTAGAAATCTGACACTAAGATTTGTTTGAAAATCATCGCATTATACAACTCGCCTGAAATCGTTACAAGAACTCGCTGAAGACAAAGCACAAAATTTGCTCTTGAAAAGTACATGTATATACACTTTCAAAAATGTAAATTAATGTATTTCGCCTCCTTTTACAAATTTTCCCTTTATTGACAAACTACACATTTTTCAAATTCTACAAGATGACAACACAAATGAATGGTCATGCCATTTCAGATGATAATCATACATCCTCAAACGGATGAAACCTTAAACATCGTCGAGTTAAGTTAGTTGAATGGTTACAAACATTGGCTGCAATAATTGCCTGTGATGACTCAGCACTTTCACTCATTTTTCGTGAGCCAAACTACAGTCCAAATCTACAGGGTGACGTCACGGTGACAATGACCTAGTCCCACTTATGGTATAGTCTTGCACTTCAAACATGTTTCAAATATTATAAGCCTAGAAAATCAATCAAAATGTGTCTTGTATTCATCGTGTACATTCAATAAAACTTGGACATTTGAAATAACTCATGGCAAAGTGGGAATGGTAATGCAAAAGGCCATTCAAAAAAAAAATGTTTAGCGTACCCGCCCGCTTCCTTTTTCGGAGCCTCCTTTCTTTTTTTCCAATGCATAAAAACATGAAAAACATACTGCTAAAAATAATGATCAATTTCAGATTTCAAAAAATATTAAAAAATGCTGGCGGCCATCTTGTAAAATAGCCCGACTGTAAGGGAAAATGTACCGAGCGGCCATTTCGGAAAAAAGAACAGAAAAAAAGGCCTCTTCTTTCATATTTTTCAAAAAAGCAGGACGCTAAATATGTTTTTTTTTTTTTAATGGCCTTACAACGAAAGGAATGGGTAGGGTGGGTACTTAAAACTTCAAAGAGCAAACGTATCTATTGTGTAAAATGTTGCACATACTTTTCTCCTGACCAGTACTTTCTCAGAATATTAAAGGGAAAAATTATCTTACAAACCATACCCCTGCATAATATTATCAGCTAGAACATCGTGAGATCTTAAATGGCAACGATAGAATCATAGAACATTCTTTCATGTATGAAAACGAATTGGAGTTTGTATAAATAAATTTAATGAATACAAACAAAATAATAAGGATGTACGCAAGGGAGTGGTAATCCATGAAAAAGGGGGTGGATTGCATGCAAAAAGGATCAGGAAGGTGCGTGTCCCACTACACGTTTTCACTGGTGGTGAATAATTATAATACCCATTCCAAACCAAACATTTGAACAATTATTTACTACTAATATCAGGCAAATATCCACAGGTCTGATTAGCATCATGTTTAAGAATGAAGACTAGATGGATACGATCGCGTGAATGCGAAACGGTTTAAAAGTGCAGGGAGCACGGACAACCCGGCACGCAATCCTCATCACACGCACCAACCCGCCTAAATATAAACATCGTCCTAATGAGGACAACAAGCCGGGGTCGCGGGAAGGTTAAAAAGCGGAAATGTGCCAATACGAACCAACTATTCTGACTGACTGACCAATACCCGCCTCAAATATTGTCACACATGAGCTTAATGATATCTGACGCTGCCCATATATCTGTCGTCGTTAAACGAACCAAGACCGTTCCGTGATTGTCACTTCTGCAGAAACAGGCCACCATTTTCGTTGGGTCTGTAGTTGATCCAATTAAAGCCCGCCGAAAAATCAAGTAGCACGGAATTTTAATTATGTCTGCCAGACAGCGCACGCAAACTATCTTCACACCGCACGCAACCTCTGACAGCGCAACAGGAATATTTATATTTATATTAATATAATGCTTCTATATAGCCTAGAACCTGCACCCCCGGCACCCAACAATACAAACAAAAACCTTAAATTCCATATAAATGACTCCTTATCGGTTGGCAAATTTAACAGAAAAAAGTAAAAAGGGAGACAAGATATCCCGATACAGTGTTTATTAGGTGTTCAAATCGGGCTACGGAAGGATAGGTTTAGTATACTATCAACAATTTCTGGTAGAAGTATTCATAACCGACGCCCATGCAGTTGAACAAAATGTGACGGATTCCTTAAAAAATACTCCTATATCCTATCCTTCATTTGCGAATGTACACTCTACCCGATCGATATAAGTCGCCAAATAACTTTTTTTTTTGAGGGGGGGGGGGGCTACAATCTCAGGACTTAGTTGGATTAGAATTGTAAAAAAAAAAAAAAAAAAAAAAAAAAAACATAAGCCTTGGTCAAGGAAAAGGTCAACTAAGGTTGGAAACACTGGACTTGGAGATTTCT